TGTTTGATTCCAACCTTCCTCCTAAGATATGTTTTTAAATTTTCTCCTGGTTCCTTTACTTCCTATTTCTCCAGCATCATCAAAAGTGGGCGGGGTGCAGAGACACAGAGCCAGGAGGCAGGAAGACACAGGGACAGAAGACAGGCAGGCTGGGAAGAGAGAGGATGGGGAGTGGCTCCAAGCATGCTCAGGACTGGAACTCAGGGAATCACAGATTCTAGAGGACAAAAGCCATCTGTGTGGCCAGAGTGAGTGTTTTATTGTTTTCTCTCAAGTGTTTTTCTGAAATGCTTTTCTCGGTGTTATTTTTTAACACTTGGACAAGATTCTGAGTCTTGGAAATGAAAGCATTGCTTGGCCCTGAACAACAGGGCCTCTGTTAGTGGTTACGTGCAGAGCCTCCGTGAGGAAAGCCCCTTGGGGGACCAGAAACCTAAACCCTCTGAGCTTGTTTATTTATTTGTGTTGACAGGGGGCCTCTCTGCCAGAGCCTAGGCTGACCTGGATCTCAGAGAGATCCACCTGCCTCTGTTTCCCATGTGCTGGAGTTAAAGGTGTGCAGCACCACCACCACCTGTTGGGCACACCTTTTCTTTAAAAAAGAAAATCTAGCTTATTAAATTTTTTTGAATTGTTTTAGTTTTGGTTTTGATGTGTAACCAGACTCCCAGACTGCCTGAAACTCACTATGTAAACTACGCTGGCCTCAGCCTCACAGTGATCTTCCTGACACGGCCTCCTGGTGGATGTGATTGAAGAGTTCACCATCACATGTAACAGGCCTTCATGTAAATTTGATGTGTGTGTGTGTGTGTGTGTGTGTGTGTGTGTGTGTGTGTGAGAGAGAGAGAGAGAGAGAGAGAGAGAGAGAGAGAGAGAGAAAGAGAGAGAGAGAGAGTTTTGTATGAGGGAGTGTGTATGTCTATGTGCACACACAGACATGTACGTGGAGTGAGGCTGGGATCCATGTATGCTGCCATCTCAGCTGCTTTCTTCCTTATTTTAAGGTGAGCTTAGAGTTGAACTTAGGCCTCATTGATTTGGTTGGATTGACTGGCCAATAAACACGTGGGATTCCCCCCCCTCCATCTGCACCCTCTTCAGATTTCCTCAGTGCTAGGGTTGCAGACATGCTCCTGGACCTCAAGTGGGTGCCCAGATCTGATTCAGGTCCTCACACTGGAGAGGCATTTTACCAACTCAGCCCTCTTCTTGGCTTCCTTCATTAAGAAAAATATTTTCGGTGGTGCTAGAGAACTAAGCTCAGGGCCTCACCTACACTGTGCCAGCTGCAGCCCCAGCCTTTCTTCTAATGTTTAAAATAAAAAATTCCAGCATATGCGGTAAAAAACAATGACTTCTCGAATTTTGCATGCAAATGGATGGAAATAGAAAACACTATTCTGAGTGAGGTAACCCAGACACAAAAAGATGAATATGGGATGGACTCACTCATAATTGGTTTCTAGCCATAAATAAGGGTCACGGAGTCTACAATTGGTGATCCTAAAGAAGCTAAATAAGAAGGTGAACCCAAGGAAAAACATATAGTTATCCTCTTGGCTATGGGAAGTAGACAAAATTGCCGGGGAGAAAATTGGGATCTTGGGGGTGGGGTGGGATGGGGGTAAGGGGAGATGGGGAGAGAAAAGGGAGAAGGGGAGGATGGGGGGAACTTGGGGAAAAAGGAAGATTGGGATAAAGGAAGGTAGGATAGGGGAGCACGGAAGCACAATTCTTAGTTAAGGGAGCCACCTTAGGGTTGGCAAGAGACTTGAACCTAGAGTGGCTCCCAGGAGCCCAAGCCGAGGTCCCCAGTTAGTTCCTTGGGCAGCTGAGGATAGGGAACCGGAAATGACCCTAGCCTATAGAAATACTGACGAATATCTTGCATATCATCATAGAACCTTCATCTGGTGATGGATGGAGATAGAGACAGAGACCCACACTGGAGCACTGGACTGAGCTCCCAAGGTCCCAATGAGGAGCAGAAGGAGGGAGAACATGAGCAAAGAAGTCGGGACCACGAGGGGTGCACCCACCAATTGAGACAGTGGAGCTGATCTACTGGGAGCTCACCAAGGCCAGCTGGACTGTGACTGAAAAAGCATGGGTTAAAACTGGACTCTCTGAACATGGCGAACAATGAGGGCTGATGAGAAGCCAAGGACAATGGCATGGGGTTTTGATCCTACGCAATGTGCTGGCTTTGTGGGAGCCTAGCCAGTTTGGATGTTCACCTTCCTAGAAATGGACGGAGGGGGGAGGACCTCGGACTTACCACAGGGCAGGGAACCCTGACTGCTCTTTGGACTGGAGAGGGAGAGGGAGAGGAGTGGGAGGAGAGGGAGAAGGATGGGAGGAGGAGGAGAAGGGTGGGAGGAGAGGGAGGGAAATGGGAGGCTGGGAGGAGGTGGAAACTTGTTTTTTTTTTTTCTTCCTTTTCTCAATAAAAAAATAAAATAAAATGTTCAAAAAAAAAATCCAGCATAGCCAGGTTGCGGTGGTGCACTCGGGAGGCAGGGAGAGGAGGAGCTCTGGTCTCTGTAGCCGCTGCAGACCAGCCAGGGCTGCAGAATGAGCAGACAGCTCCCTTCCTCTGTCCTCCCCATCCCCTTCCGGAGATGGAGAAGTAGGAAGTAATTGAGCCAGGATAATAAAGAAAACATCTTGGGAAAACTACCCCACAGTCCACAGGACGTGGGGTATCTTTTTTTCATGGCCTGTGCAGTTGCTGGGGAATCACTCCAGCCAAGAAAGGTTCCCCAATACTCGAAAGGAAATACCACTCTGGGTGGCAGCCAGCCATATTCCCAGGCCTGTTCCTTCCAACAGGGGAATTGTAATAAAATTACTTGGTGCCCATACACTCACATCCCTGGCCCTGTGAAATTACTTGCTTTGAGCACCAGCAGACTCAGAATTAGATCCAAGATTAGGACATTCAACTATACATCCAGAGCATTTGTTTACACTAATCTAAAGAGTGTTTGTCTCCCTGCTCTGTGTCCTTCCGTTTCATTTTCCTGTTGATGTCTTTACTCTCTCATATTGCAGATATAGTTGTGAGCCAGCTCTAGGAGTCAGCCTTCATAGAAAGGAATGGTCAGCACTATGCCGAGGAAACAGAAACACAAGGCTGACACCATCCTTAGTTATACCAGGCCAGCGCTGGACGGTCGGTCCCAAGTGCATCCACACAGCCCAGGCAATGTCTACCAGCCAGCTGCTGAAAAATCCAAGCCTCTGGGACACACAAGGTTTGGCCTGACTCTCACAGGAGTCTGGGTTAGAGGGTGACTCTGGGGTGCTGCTAAGTCTCATGAAAAGGCCCAAAACTCTCTGGAGTATTGAGCCTGGGCCAGTAGGAGTAAAACTATAGATTTTGATTGTATTTGAATTTAAGGAGACTAGGAGTTTGTTTCTAAGGACCCCATAAGCAGAAAAAAAAAAAAACCCAGAATTGGCTGTTAAAAGGGTAATCACGTAGTTCTGTATGGCTGAAACAGCACCAATAACAGAACAGCATAGATGTGACGAGGCCTGGTGGTGGAACCAGCTGGTGGGGATGTGGATAGTTAAGGGTCCACACCACAGCCCCAGCTCTGTCACCTCCTGTACGGAGAGAAACGTTGGAGAACTGGGCAAGAGACGAAGTTCAGAAATGACTTTTCTTCTCATGAGGAACTCGTAGTAAAATACATCTTTCACAATAAAAAAAAATTACCATTTCTAGTTCACAGACTGTGGGTGAGAAGTGGAAGCAACTCCTTGATGAGAAACATGTTTGTGATTCCTACAGAGACTGCAGTGCCTACATTAACTGCAGACACAGCCCTGACTGGGTGTGTCTTCTTGTGTGGCTTCAAGAGAGAGGCAAGTTGGCCAGAACAAAGAGTGACCTGGAATCCAACTCTGTAAGGGGTGAGGACTGCTGTCTCCAGGGAAGGTACCATTTCTGTACCCTACCTCCCTTCCTGCACCACAAGTTTCCACAGTAAAATAAATAACTTTTAAAGGCAGCAGGAGGATGTGTCCGAGGGAGGCTGTCAAGGGGAGTTACTTACGAATAATGCCAGGAGAATGTAGTTGGCAGGCACTTGGCGTCGGATATCCCTACAGCACGCAAGCACAATGATGACAACGAGGACAGCTGGGCTGGGAACGTGAAACCACCAGTTACTACTTCAGTTCTCCAACACGTGGGCAGTGTGTGCAGAGACAGACCCAAGTGTATAATCATGTCTGTACAGACCCAGCGAGGGACACAGATGTGAGTGTATCGTCACCTGAGCAGTGTGTCCAGACACAGCGGGGGGGGGGGGGGACACACACAGATGTGAGTGTATCGCCACCTGAGCAGTGTGTCCAGACACAGCGGGGGGGACACAGATGTGAGTGTATCGCCACCTGAGCAGTGTGTCCAGACACAACGGGGGGGGGGGGGGACACACACACAGATGTGAGTGTATCGCCACCTGAGCAGTGTGTCCAGACACAGCGGGGGGGGGGGGGGGGAAACAACACACACAGATGTGAGTGTATCGTCACCTGAGCAGTGTGTCCAGACACAGCGGGGGGGGACACACACACAGATGTGAGTGTATGGTCACCTGAGCAGTGTGTCCAGACACAGCGGGGGGGGGGGGACACACACACAGATGTGAGTGTATCGCCACCTGAGCAGTGTGTCCAGACACAGCGGGGGGGGACACACAGATGTGAGTGTATTGCCACCTGAGCAGTGTGTCCAGACACAGTGGGGGGACACAGATGCAAGTGTGTTGCCATGTGTGTACAGAGACAGCAGAGGGACACAGACCCAAGTGTGTTGTCATGTGTTGATACCTGATATACAGAGCAAACTAAATTGCTATTTTCTACTTACCTCTCTTTTATGCCTTCAAAATGAGCTTTTAAAGTTTGATACACAGATAGCTTGTCTTTAAATTTTTTGTTAAAAATATAGATTCATAGAAAATTATAAAAGGACAGAGTTCTATTAAAACTATATGAAATTTTCACCAATGATTTTGATTTATATATTATAGCACAATTTAAAAACCAGTATACGGGTATAACATGAACACATAGTTATTTAACATGGGAGTGTGACTTTTGCCTATGAGTAGATACATGTAGCCACCACCTCAATTAACATTCAGGACTGTCTTACATATCAACAAAGATCAGCCTGGCATAAACTCTACACACAACTGACCCTGACTTCTGGCACCCATTAACTTGCTTCCCATTGCTTCTTTTTTTAAAATAATATAATATTAGGCTTTAATAATGAAAAGACTTAGAGAACCGAGGTTCCCGCGGAGAACAGGAAAGCAGAAGGGGAGGGGGGGGCACACCAGGAATATTTATTAGTAAGAAATATCCTCAGGGGACCACGCCCTACAAGCAAGGTGATTGGCTGGGGGGCTTCCCCTACAAAGAAGGACCCGTGAGGACCGGAGCGGCCTTTCTGGAGGGCATGGCCACCTCTGCTCCTGGAAGGCAGGAGGTAGAGCAGCGCGGAGGCAGTACAGTGGGAAGGGAGGTTGTTCATGCTAACAAAACCAAGGGCTTCCTCAGCAAAGCGTGCTTCCGGTGGAGCTACTTGGGGTCTTGTCTGGCGCGTTTGGGGCTTTGCTGTTTCTCACCGAGAAATTCCTGAGGGAACGCAAGCTCTGCACTTGCTGCAGGCGCCGGGCGAGCTCCGCGCTGCAGGCCCGCTAGACTGTCTCTGCTTTCTTTACATCTCCGCTCAAGGCAACAGCCAGGGCTCTGGGGTCCTCCTTGGAGACCAGCTCCAAATCCTGACTAGATAAGCTCAGCTCTGGGGCAGGCTTCTCCTTCAGCAAAGTGAGGATCTGGCTTGTAAGTGCCACTTCGGAAGCCATCTCTTTGCTGATGCCCGTGTCCACCGCATCCGCGTCTCCACCGAGGGCGGCTTTGGGCTCTTCCTGGTTGGAGAAGATGGCACCCTCCTTCTCCAAGGCCCGGTGATACAGTTCTAGGAGCTGCTTGGACTGGCGGGCCTCCTCTCTCTGGTCAAGCACCCGCTGGAGCGCGTCCTGGAGCCTTTGGACAGTGGCACAGCTTTGGCAAAGCTCCTGAGCCAGTTCTGAGCACGGGATGTCAATGAGCACTTGGAGGTCCTCTTCTGGGAGCAGGATGATGCTGGACAGGTCCTCTTTCAGCTGCCTGGCCACATTCTTCCACTTCGCCCCGGCTCCGCTGTCTGTTTCGTCGGCATCAAAGGACTCTTGGGAAACCCAGGCTGTTCCTCCATCCGAATTGTTATACGTCCACTTCTCATTACAGGCCAAGGCCACAAACTTGGTATTGGAAGGGAGACAAAGGAAGTAGTCGTCATCGTCCACTATTGTACCGTCCTCGGCCAGGACCAGGGTGACTGGTGTCAGGGACTCATCAATGGCCAGTACTTCGCAAGCTTTGCGCCTCAGCTCCTCGAGGCAGGAGGCCGCCACGCCGTGCTGATCGCGGTTGTGGTTGCGGCGGAGCAGACACGGCTTGAGAGGCCGGATATCGTCCGGGTCCGGGTCCGGGTTGCTGGCTCCCCGCGCCAGCGCCATCCTCCTCAAAGTGCAACCCGATAGACTGGGAAATCGCCAGCAGTCCTGAGCCGCTTTCAAGGTCGCGGGCACCCCGCCTCCCGTGGCCTGTCGGGAGATGTAGTTCTCGCTACAGCAAGTGACGTGACAGCAAGGCACGCCGGGAGATGTAGTGCTGGCTAATCGCGTGCGTTTCAGGGCACTACCGGAGTCCTGTGGTTTCTGGAATGTTTCCAGGTGTTCATCCTGACCATATTCCATCTTGGTCAGTGTTCTTCTTCTTCTCCGCGGCATGTTCTTCTTTTTCTCGGGGGAGTGTTCTTCTCAGAGACGAAAGGAGGACGCAAGACACAACAAAACCCACGTGGCGAGGTTTATTGCAGCGTGGGCAACAGTGAAGGGAGAGAAGGGAAAAGAGAGCTTGCTTCCCATTTCTATAATTTTGTCTTTAAAGGATTTTATGGAGAGATGGATCTTTCAGGGCATCTGGGTTTAGTTTCTAGCACCCACATGGCAGCTCACAAACCCCAGCAACTCCATTTCTAGGGGATCAGACATTCTCTGTCCCCCTCTGTGACACCTATGTAACATGATATACATACAAACAAGCACATACACACACACATAAAGAAAAACAAGTAAAATATAAGAAAGTTATGCTTTTCCCTGGGTGTTTTTGCATGATTTTTTTGTTCTTAGTTTGTGTTACTTGGAATCAGGGTCTTATGCAGTCAAGGCTGGCCTTGAATTCCTGATCCCCTGTCTCCACCTTCTAAGTGTTGGGATTGTAGGCATGCATCACTATACCCAGCAAGAGTGCCATTCTTTACGAAATTTTTAATAGTGATAAAATATCGGCCAATAGTTCATAGAATCATGAATGATACTTACAAGAGTGCGTACATGAACCAAGGGATGCCAATGATCCACTTCCTTACAGGTTTGCTGGTTTAAAAAGAGAATACAGTTTTACATAATATAATGAGTTGTACTAATTAAAATAGAAGTATGACAGTGTCATGAGAAAGATGGGCAAATGGGGAGGAAGCACTGAGACAGTCCCTTCAACGCGGAAACTGCTGCTAGCATGGCTTCCATTGGAGTAACCACTGGGCATGTGTGAGGCCCTGAATTAAAATTTCCAGCACCAAGAAAAGAAAGACACATTTAAAAAGTTATTTTTCTTAAATTACACAGCAGATTTAAGAAGAAACCCATGGTTAAGACCTTCAGTTTTAAAAATACTGAGGGCCAGGCATGGTGGCACATACTTTCAAAAAAAAAAAATCCTTTCTCATTTTACATACCAATCCCAGTTTCTACTCCCTCCCCTCCACCTTTGCCCCGACCCCAACCACATCCATTCCTCAGAGAGGGTAAGGCTTCCCATAGGAAGTCAACAAAGTCTTGCACATTGCTTTGAGGCAGGACCAAGGCCTCCCCACTATATCTAGGATGAGCAAGGTATCCCTCCAAAGGAAATGGATTCTAAAAAGCCAGTTCAGGCAGTAGGGATAAGTCCTGGTCCCACTGTCAGTGGCCCCACAGATTGCCCCAGCCATACAACTGTCACCCACATGCAGAGGAGCTAGTCTGATCCTATGCTTGTTCCCCTGTTGCCACGCTGGAGTCAATGAGGTCACATTAGCTCAGGTAAGCTGTTTCACTGGGTACCCCTATCATGGTCTTGATCCCTTTGCTCATATTATCGCTTCTGCCTCTCTTCGACTGGACTTTGAGAGCTCAGCTCATTGCTTCACTGTGGATCTCTGCATCTGCTTCCATCAGTTGATGGATGAAGGCTCTATGATGACGAGGTAGTCATTAATCTGACTACAGGGCAAGGCCAGGTCAGGCACCATCTTCAGTATTGCTTAGGGTCTTAGCTGGGGTCATCCTTGTGGATTCCTGGGAATTTCTCTAGTTCCAGGCTTATTGTTAGCCCCATAATGGCTTCCTCAATCAAGATATCTCTTTCCTTGCTCTCCCTCTCTGTCCTTCCCCCATCTCAAACATCCGTTTTTAATCCCAGCACTTGGGAGGCAGAAGCGGGTGATATCTGTGAGTTTGAGGCCTGCCTGGTCTACATAGTGAGGACAGCCAGAGCTACAAGTGAGCTCCTATATCAAAAAAAAAAAAAATACAATACAGTACAATACTGAAACTGATATATGTATAAGGTAAAAGGAATCATCTCATGGTTCATATTGCAAATAACACTTTCAGTAGGATGGACTTGGTGACAAATAAATATTATTCCTTCATAACTTTCTCAAAATGCTCAGAGAATATCAAAAGAAAGCAATGTTCAAAGAAGAGTAAGAAAAATCTTCTTGGCCTAGGAAGTTAAATTCTAGAATCTCCTGCCATGTTGGTGGTTCAGAAAAACTTGTCTATAGAAAGAATATCATCTACAAATAGTGAAGAACAAAAATCATACTTTTTGAAATGCCCCACATTAAAGTAAGCTGATATCCCATGAGCAGTCACTTGAGCAATATAACATCTGATTCTAGACAGGAAGAATGACTCACCAGAAAACAAATATGCTGATGATTACCATAGTGATGAGCAGCTGAACTGACAAGATAATGAACACTTTCATGATGAAGCCTGTGGGGAGAAGATGCATATCCAAAGGTAAAGTTGAATGCAGTTTCCAGTTCCACAGAAGCAATGGACCCGTCATTATCTGAGGCTAGAAAGGGTAGTGCTGATCTAGTCAACAGTGGGACAAAGATACTCGGAGAAGGTTTTAAAGTATGTGTGTGTGTGTGTGTGTGTGTGTGTGTGTGTGTAATTCTTTGAGAATGTCATACATCTCCACAATGTTTTTTGGTCTCTGTAGAACTTTTAAAGAATATCTATTTAAGCAGCCTCAGTGGGACACACTGTGATGGAGGAAGGTCATTGGTAATAAACAAACTGCCTTGGCCCATTTTGATAGGCCATCCCTTAGGTGGGTGGAGTAGGCAGAACAGAATGCTGGGAGGAAGAGGAAGTGAGCTCAGACTCGATAGCTCTCCTCTTGGGGGCAGACACCTCAGAGAGAGGCCATGCTCCCCTCTCCCGGGCAGACACATGCGATGAAGCAAGCCGCCAGGTCAGACATTCTGAATCTTTCCCGGTAAGACCGGTGCTACACAGTTTATTAGAGATGGGTTGATCGGGATATCAGAATTAACCAGTAAGGGCTAGAGCTAATGGGCCAAGAGTGTTTAAATGAATACAATTTGTGTGTTGTTATTTCGGGGTATAAGCTAGCCAGGTGACCAGGAGCTGGGACGGCAGGAACACAGCCCACAGCTCCTACTACAGCACTGTAATCCCAGTTACTCAGAAGGCAGAAACCAGCGGAATGCTTCAGCTTAGGAGTTGAAAACCAAGCGGGGTAACAAAGAAACTCCTGGTTGTAAGAACAGACAAACAAAAAGAATATTTAGTCTAATTATTAAAATTTTTTTTTAGGCTGGTGAAAGAGATCAGCAGATAAAGGCACCTACTGCCAAGTCTAAGACTAGTCAGTGCACAGAATCACAGGACATGATAAAGTCATGGTCAGTGTTTTTTAAATGGGAAAAGGACTAGAATGGTATTCCCCAAAGAAAACACAAGTCTGCCTGGGAACTCACAGGGTACTCTAGCCAGGGAAGCAGGTGGGCTAACTGCAGACCTTCCCCTCTCCCTCCATGCCTCCATGTCCAATGCCTCAGCCTCATCCCCAGCTACATGGTAAGCCTTCTGTTGCAGCTTCTCCTCACTCTCCTCACTCCCCATTCCCAGAGAACTAAGCAGATGCTGGTGGAACACTCTGTTTTCCTCTCTCCTCTGTTCTACCCCAGCATCTCCCCAGCTCATCCCATTTTTAAATGTCAGTTCCCAATACCCAGAAATGCATTCTACCTGTAACCACCTGAAATTGCACCTATCAGGATCCCAGAAGCATTTCCTACCAGGCAAAACAGAGACTCAATGCTCTCCTAAGAACTAGTGAGGTGAACAGAAACCAAGGAACCAGTCATCCAACAAAGAAAAGAAAAGGTGTCAGCACCTAGAATTACAATCTTCCCAAATCCAAATATTAAATGCCAGTGTGAAAACATAATAGTATGGAAGACAGTGTATCTCCACTCCAGCCCAGCAGTCTCACCCCATAGGTCACAATAGAAATACCTTAAAATAGTCATAAAGCGTTACCCAACCACAAAAGAATATACCTTCTTCTCAGTACCTCAAAAACTTTCTCCAAAATTAACCACATACCCGGAAACAAATATCAAAAGATAAAAGAAAATGTAACTAACACCCTGCATCCTATCTGATCACCATGGATTAAAGATGGATACCAACAATAACAGAAACAACAGAAAGCTCACAAACTCATGGAATCTGAACAATTTACTACTGGATGAAAAACAAGTCCAAGACATAAATCTTAAAAAATTAAGACTTTCTAGAATTGAATGAAATGAATGCACAGCCTACCCAAACTTATGGGACACAACAAAAACGGGCCTAAGGGCAAATTTATAAAACTAAGTGCCTACATAAAAAAAAATTTGAGAGACCTCATGCTAGTAACTTAAAAGCACATCTGAAAACTTTAGAACAAAAAGAAGAAATCACATCCAAAGGGAGTAGATGTCAAGAAATAATCATACCCAGGACCAAAATTGAAAAAAGAAAAAAAATAATAAAAATAATGAAACAAAGTGTTTGTTCTCTGAGAAATCAATAAGATCCACAAACCCTGTGGTAGTTTGAATATAATTGGCCCCCATAAGCTCAAAGGGAATGTCACTTTTAGGAGCTTTGGCCAACGCCTTTCTGGAGGAAGTGTGTCACTGTTGGGCAGGCTCCTATGCTCAAGCTACACCCAGTGGATCAAGTTGTATAACTCTCAGCTCCTTCTCCAGCACCATGTCCCATCATGATGTTATTAGACTCAACCTCTGAAACTGTGAGCCCCCTCAATTAAACATCTTCCTTACAGGAGTGGCCAAGGTCATGATGTCTCTTCACAGTAATAGAAACCCTAACTAAGACAAACCCTTATCCAAACTAATTAAAAAGCAGAGTAAGAGAATTTCCAA